GATCTTGGCTGGTGAGTTTGCTCCACTGGAGCATTTAGGGACTATATTCTTTTTCACCAATGGCTTAAGACGCCTTTCCGCTACAACAAGGTGCTTCCAATCAACGCTTTGGAGAACCCTGACCACGTCAACCGCCTTGGGACGTTGGACAGGGACAGTATCCCCGGTCTTTCTTTCCCCGAGTGTGCGTCAATCTAGTTTCTCTCCTCTCGGCGGCTGTCTGCACTAGAGCCCAGTAAGTCAGCCTCGAGATCATGTTGGTATCTGCGAAACGTCTCTACGTCTCTAGGCCCGGTTCTATCTGTAATTAGGTCAATGAGGTGAACGGCCTGAAATAGTAGTAAGAAGCATCAAGAAGCAACAAAGCCACATTAGGCAAAGCTTATGAAAATTTCAGAGATCCCCTTATAAAACCATCAGCAAAAACAGCATCTGCTTCGAAGTTGACTTTGCAATTGGCGTCATTATCTGATGCTTTTCTGAACGTGGCATAACCTTGTTTCCTCCAGTCATGGTGGCATTTGTCTAATGTCATGTAAAGTACCCTTTAAGTGTTTCATTAATGTCTAATGAGCTTTTCATTAGGAGAACTCAAGTGTGACTTCTCCATGCAAGACTATAAGCAATACCAGGTTTTGCTTTGGTAATGATCCTTCTCTGGATTGGGCGGCAGCATCAGGCCCTGCTTTTGTACTAAAGAGCATTGTTATTATGCGAACATCAATGCAAAGAGTGGGTGTTGATCTTTGAAAATGTCATGCTCTGTTCCACGAGGCTCAAATTGGACTTGTTATTTACCCGGCTTGTTTTCCCATCCCTACCGCCCTGTAATATTCAACAATACCTACTTATTGAATTTTACAGACCCCGCTCGTCCTCCCGAAAACCGACGCAGCATCGCAGCAGAGGCTATTTTAATTTCACGACACATCACTGAGCCTCTGCTATTATGATTGCCACATGTTAACATGCCTATAAAAGTCAGAGGAGCGTTTTACAATTTGCATTGTGTCTCTTGGTATCTGCTTTACCTGCAATAATTAGGTGGAACAGCGGCAGCAGTATGTCTACTTAGCAGTAATGAGGTGCAATGCCAAGTATGAATAACCGGAGATTGACCATACGTGAGCTACATTTCTATTGAACACAGCTCAGTGGATGGCTGCCTTAATGCCTGTGACTGTAGGTCCGTCATAAACAAAGCGAATGCTGAGCGGAGAGGCGATTAAGGCACCACATCTGGCGATGCCGATGCAAGTTTGCTCCCTGCCAGTGGAATTACATCCCGCGTGTTAGCCCCTCGCTGCCTGCGTGTGGCGCAAGGTCGGAAAGGAAAGCTAATGGTCACTTGGCATTCAGCCTCACGCCGCCCAAATGCCTCCGCAGAATCCAGGAGGTCCCCTGTGACCACCGACACTCGTATTACGTCCTGGTTTAATTCCTGGGCCTCGTCTCCCTCCAGATCAGTCGCTCCACTTTGCTGCTGATTACAGGGCAAACTTGGAGAGCTTTAATGTAGAGCCCAGACCGTTGAATTAAAGGAAGGACTAATTACAGAGTCGAGTGAATATCATTCTGACGGGTCGAAGGGGGAGTTACAGAAATGTCATCAGGTTTCGGGTGTGCTTAAAAGCACATGCTGTTTTTATGTGCAACTATATTTTTTGTCAAAGCAAAAACCCCTTTTGCTTTGACAAAAAATATATTTCCACCTTGATCAATTCTGAAGTATACACACAAGGCAACAAATGAAATAAAATGCCTCAGTTAGTTGCCTTCAAGAGAATCGTTCAGCCTTCCTTTTGTGGAGCATCATCTTTTCAAAAGATATAGTCCTTATATAGGCCTCCATTCCTATCAATATAATACAAAACCTACAGAGAGAACTCAAACTATCTAGCAGAACACGGGTAATTTGAAAGGTCGGCTGTTGTGCAGCACTATTTCTCCGTAGAATGCCAGCGTGTAGACTTTCTCCCATCTTACCGAGCACACTCAACAGGAAGATATTTGTTGTTTCTCCACTTGCTGTTGAGATTGCAAATGACCTTTCCTGGAAAAAAAAGAAGAAAGAAAGCCCAGAAAGAGCTTGATCTCTTCCCTCTCTCAAGTATTATTCTTGCTAGCTAAAGGGCTTAATTTATTCAAGGTTGTTAAACGCAGAAGGGGAAAAAAGAAACTCTTCCCTATTGATAGTTTGTGTCTGAATGGGAAGCGCTGGTAGATGAACTCGACGTGGATGATGCTCCGTCCGCACGTGGAAGCTACTGATCTGTAATCTTCAGCGCACGAGCGCCGTACAGCTTCATATTCACTCCGTGCTGGAAGTGTTTCCTTTCTCCATAAAAATGATCTGCTCTTCCATGTGTGCGATTCCTCCTCCTACACTGACACGCGTGTCTTTCCCCCCCCTCCCTCGGGGCGTTCCTTGGGTTTTGAACCCATCTGCTCAGCCACGGGAATCATCACTGACGTCTCCGTCCTGCAGCCACAGCGGCTGAGGGGAGACGTTCCGGAGGCGCATCAAGACTTCATTTACCCCCCTGACCAAGACCAGAGGTTGGGGATTTTGCATGCCAGAATCTGTGCACTCAAATGCCGGCTGTTGGCGCATCCACCAAACCGAGCACCCCGGCGTCCTCCCGTGCCGCCCTTGGGGACAACGAGCAGGCACGCGCGTGACGGGGCCCTCGGAATAAGTCTCTGTCACAGCGGTAGAGCTGTCAATGCTACAACACAACATGCTGTTCGGATCCACGGGTGAAGCCTCTTGACATCAAAGGTGGCACGCACACACTGAAGGATCCACGTTCCCTTTTGTTGCGGCCTACACCTGTCAACAAGGTGGGTTTGGTCGGGGATTTTCTTTATTTTTGTTGTTGTTGCTTCATGTGCCGCTGCACACGGGCCCTCCTGCTTTGCAGCACCACAGAGGCCCCTTGTGGACAAGAGAAGTATAACAGCGTGTGTGTGTGTGTGTGTGTGTGTGTGTGTGTGTGTGTGTGTGTGTGTGTGTGTGTGTGTGTGTGTGTGTGTGGTCCAGGACAGATCCCAGCATCCGTAAAAACACATTCTATGTATCTCTCTCTCTCTCTCACACACACACACACAGTCCCATGATTCTCGACTGTGTACGATATTTTGGGTTGAGCCGTGAAATGCAAAGCCGTCCCTGAACTGGGGGCCTTTTTTGATTCTCTGAACCAACTTATCACTGTTAAAGCTGCAGCTATCATCTGAGGCTGTACAACACTAGAGGGCCAAATTAGAGCGGGCCTCAGTAAAACAAAATCCCCATTATCTTTGAACTAGCAAGTACCCAATTATCCGCCACAGTTATCTCCCATCTCACGGACGTCTGATTCCTCGCCACAGGCCAATGAGCAAAGGGTGCTAATGAAGAGATGCCGAATCACCTCTTTGCCTTCCTGGACGCGCATCTGTCAGAGCCTCCTCAATCGGCGGCGGCTTTTTTTTTTTTTTTTTATGAATCAGAGTCATTCCCCGGCGTTGATGATGTGTCTCTTTTTCATAACCCCCCCCACCTCGCCGGTCACAGGACACACACTCACAGAGGTGCCGTCGGCATGCAGGCAGCATGTGTGTGATGAGTGCGAATGAAGGACGAGAGGTCTCTAATCCAAGGCGGAGAGAGAGAGAAAACGGGTTCAAAAGGGGGTTCCATCTGTCTCTAGTCGGATAGGATGTGTGTTCAAAATGAGTCCCCCCCCCCCGCCCCCCTAGATGCGGAGCCAGGGGGTTGTCTCTCTTGTTTTCTCCACACCTTCTAACGTCTCTGTTCTACCGGTCTTCATCGTCCCAGGAAGCCTTTCTGTACATCGCACTGCCTGCCAGTACAGAAAATTGACCCCAACTGTCTTGGTGGCCGATTTCTCGCTTTCTCTTTTGCATTTTTCATCCTTTTGTTTTCCTTTTACGTTGCACTCTGTGTTTTTACTGCCGCAACACTGTTACTGCTGGACAAGTACATTTTCCAAATGCCAATCAACATTTTAGGACATTTGAGTTACACTTATTCGATAATTAAGAGCATTTTAAACTTTAAAGCTGCACTAATTAATGAGATCACATGGTCCAAAGGACAAATGTGAAAGGGTTTCGGTTGCAGCGAAGGGTAAAAGAATGTCCTCTGTCTTTTGGTTTGTATAACTAAAAGGATCATATTTTACTGATACTACTGGCTTATAATATAATTCTTTTACCAACCTTCTGTGTGTTTTTATAAAGAAGGTAGACTTAATCGTGTAGAGTGTAAAGAGGTCAATGGTTGTATAAGCACCTGCTTCTGTGTTAAAATGGGAGAAATCAGTATAAGTTTGCTATCCTGCTATCTGAATTCATTAACAGTGCAAATCACGGTCCTTAAAAGCCGCGCCGCACTACTTCTTGCAAACTACAATGATTGAAGGGGACTGCTGAGGAGTGTAAGAGCTTTTATGGAGATACACCAGAGCTGTGACGATTGTGTTTAAAGGGCCGTCTGGGAATTTAAAATAGGTCTGGGATGGTTTAAGATGGCACCTCTGGAGACCGAGGGACGTTTTAGGAATTGATGGACTGACTGACTGAAGCGAGCACTGGTCCACTGGTGTTTGTGGCCGACGCTCATTGATGCAGAATCAAATATAAGCAGCACCGTCATGCGCTGCTGCTGTGTGTTGCCCTTTGGAATCTCCTCCTCGCACCTTTTTGGGGTAATAAAGAATGGTTTTAATGTTTGTTGTCATTTAGTGGCTGGAGAAGATGTTTTAATCATTTTAGGTTTTCCCTGCTGCTTTTTCATGTTGCTGAGCGCTCTTGGGAGCAAGTAGCAGCACTCTGTACCAAATGCTTTCCAAAACATGAATCGGTGTCCGCATATTTTTCAAGTGCATGACGGGAAAGTTGTGTAAAATATGTGTAAAACTTCACATTATATGTTATTCATGAACTCCTCAGATACGCAGGTTACCTCACAGCTCGTCTGTGTCTCCCAACAGGAAGTCCTCTCAACCTGACGTGCAGAGCGTTCTTTGGATACAGCGGAGACGTCAGTCCGCTCATCTACTGGATGAAGGGGGAGAAGTTCATCGAGGATCTGGACGAGGAGCGGGTTCAGGAGAGTGACATAAAGTAAGACATTCAGCACCCGACCGCATTCTGAGGGTCACACAAAGACACAAAGCTATGGTTCACTCAGTACCTCGGTTTATTATCTCTACAGAATGAGAATATTTTCTATCCCCGGTAGTATTACAACAATATAAAACAAATTCGTGAAGAACATTTTATCTCGCAGGAAGCGAGGGACCCACCTGCTGAACTGGTAAACACTTATTTATACCCAGTTACCACAACATTAACACGCAACAATGAAGGGAACTTTAACAACCACGCTGTCATTGAAGTTCTATCCATGAATGTTTAATGGGGCTGTTCAATAATGTAGATAGCTATGCATTCTTTATCACGCACAATATATATGCACATCTCCGGTATCAGTGATCAGCTTTGCACTGGAATATAAGCGGCGGCAGAACAGACGATAGAAAGTTCAATTAAACGTCTTTGTTGGCCTCCTGTTCCATTTGGGTGAACTCTTTATTTGGCTCACAGACATATCCGGAAACAGAGGTCTGTTTAATCCAAAGTCAGGTAAAAACCTGACGGCGGGACACACATTCGGCCTCAGGCTGGTTGACCAGTCTAATTGACTGCTACTGTTGGAAGCTGATTCTTTTAAGAGGAGCACTCACTGCTTCAGGCTACGATGCATTAAGGACAGTAATGTTACAGCGCGCTTCCTATTCAGTAGGAAACTATTGTTGAGTTTCTAAAGTTGTAAGGAACCAATCAAGGACGCTCAAAATGTAATACGGCCGAATGGATGGAGCCCTTTTATTTCACTCCATGCACACTGACAGGATTACTATGATGAGATTTACAGATGAGACTTATAGTGCCTAAAGATACAGAATCCTGTAGCTTGATAGATGTCCAGGTGGGAAAGGCATTGGATCCAAATTTACATGAAGTAAATGTATTTCTGCAGCAATATGGCCGGCGTTTCCCAGATGTTGTTGATTAAAATGTGAGCAACAGGTGATGCGTTAATGACTTATACATCAGTGAAGGTGGGATCATTTCAGAAGTATTTCAGAAAACATTGTGGAGTGTGAATACGACTTATAAATAAGAGGCGGTTCTCCATACAGCCAGTAGTAACATGCGCCACACATCGCACCGTTAATAACTGGAAAAGGAATAATTGATTCACTGTTACGCTAATTATTTCTTCAGATAACCACTTTTTGCTGGTGTGTCTGCACAGAAATACGCACGTCCACGCACCCTTTCGTGTCCCGCCCCCACACACTCCTTTGACAGGACCCGCGTGTGACCTGAAAAGCTCTGTTGTCAACATACGCCGTCAACGAGAAGGTTAACTGTGAGCAGCATGACAAGGCGGGGAGGAGAGTTAGTGGCCCAGTCAGTGACCTGGCATTTGGAGATGTCTCTATTAGCTTTCTAGCACATTCCACACCGCTCTCAGCACCACTCTCTGTTGCGAAGGACACCAGGCCAATTAGAGCCTACAATAGGAGGGTGGTGGGCGGGGGGGTAGTGGGGGCGACAGGTGGCGCTGTATGTGGTTAGAAACCCTGCTTTCGAAAGAGGTAACAAGCCAAAGGATCGAAATCGTGACCCTGAGCTGCTTTGAAATAGTCGTGTGTGTGTCGGTGTGTGTCGGTGTGTGTGTGTGCGTACGTGTGCGGGGGCAGAGATGAGCATACAATGGCCGCCCACGGTGTGTGCTCATTCAAGTTGTTCAAGTGCCTATTTTTGTTTTGCGCCACCGCATGATAACGTCGCCCTGTCTGTTTTTTTTTTTTTTATTTATTTCATTTTTGTTCCCGTTTTGAATGTGCACCACTTGAAACCCGCATCCCCCCCACCCCCCCCCCGCCCCGACATCATCTATGAGCTTTTAGCTTTGAAATGGAAATCAATCACAAATGGAGTATTCCCCCAAGGGCTGCCTGTAATACATGAAATGGAGCTTTTGGCACAATGTTTCACCGCTGAGATTCCGGGTTCATATGAAATTTCGTTGCCGCAGAACAAGACTCTGTGGATCTCAGAGGTGAAGTCACGGCACGGAATACAGAGACAGCTGCCGCAGTTTAAAAGCAGAAGACGTCCCGGTCCCCCCGTGCATGGCCGTGCTGTACCCTTGTGAGCAGCAGTTCAAGTGTCAAATGTAACTCTGAATGAATTCTCACACACGTCCAGATCTTAATCTTCATGGGAAGTCAGAGTCCTGACAGCACTGCCTCCGCCGCCTGCTAGCCCTGCACACCATGTGCGTCTTATCGCGCTGCGGGCCGACGTTGATTGTTTACTGTGCGTCATATCAAATGAGGCAGGGCGAAACTGGAACACTTGTCAAACTCAATAGGGCATCAGCGTGGCACGAGGCTGCTAACTCCGCGCCGATGCCCATTGGGGAATCTGTCATTGTGAACAATGCTCCGTTTCAAGCCTCTTTGTGGGAGCATCTGTTCTGTGATCAAATTCATTCCTACCTTTGGGGGGGATTTTAGGGAAGGGAAGGGGGGGGCAGACAGCGGGACAGGCAACAGCCAGTGAGGCATTTAGAAATGAGGCATGGCTTGACAACGCGAGGCAGTTCAAAAGTTCACGTGTCACATTGAGGGTATTTTGAGGCATTGTGCCCGATGCCACAGAGAGAATGATGGGATGCCGATGTAGGATATTTGAAAGGACTGTTTTAGGTGAACCTCTGGTCGGGCATCCAGCTGCGCAGCACCAGTCTACCACTCTCACACACACACACACACACACACACACACATCGTTCACTTAACCGGTATGATGGAGTGTTTTTGTAAACAAACAGATTTTTCCATTTTTTTCCCCGCCACTAACACCCACAGCGGCTTAGCTCAGTCTCTGTCGAGTCACACATGGGTGCCACCTCTTTAAAAAGCCATCAGCACGGATCTATATCCCAACCTTGTGCGGCCCCGTGTCTCTGCCTGGCTGGCCGCACAATGAAGAGGGATGGGTGTTGGAAAAGCTCTGGGGAATTACGAGAAAAGACTGAATTGGTTCCCGTGGCACTTACGCACTCAGACCAGCCGTAACGCCGGTAGTAACTTTTAAGCTTTCCCACAGAAGCTTAAGAAGTGCTACCTCTTCATTTGGCTTTATGAAGCAGCTAGTCCATGTAGCGACACAATAATTACCTCTAACGGTTCTCGCTGGTAAATGGTCAATAAAAGAAATTTCGACGTGAGTGTGATATTTCTATCCATGTAGGATTCCAATTACCGGCTGCAATTTGTAAGGCTAATGTGAGCTATTGCCATGGCAGCGGTGGTTGTGTTGTTTGTCTCCATCGCCCCCGCACTTCACGATCCGCTTTGTTTAGTCCTCTCATTGATCAGCGGGAAATTGCACCGGTTTTTGTTTTCTGATGCCCCGCGGCAGACAAATGCCCAAGTGGCCTTGTACCTTTTTTCGCGCTATTAGCCCCATGCATCATTTAACAGAGCTTTGGAATATCTGCAGTTTTTGTAGCCTTAAAAAGACTTTCCGCTCGTATATCATTCCTGCTTTTGCACAGCAACTCAGCAGGAGAGATCCAGCCCCTTGGCGTCATTTGGTACCTGTTGTCATGTGGGTTGGTTACAAATGCGTTGACCTGGCTTTAGAAGTAGGGATCTTTATTTTACCGCAACAGCGCCTGAAATGTATTGTTTTCACCTTGTGGATGCGTGTGTGCGCGTGTGTGTCATCACAGCAAATTGTGTTTAGGAGTTAGAGATTTTAAGTCTTTTGGCACGGGTTTAGATATCTGTGGCAAAAGTTTTGTTGATGCGATGGCAACACAACTGGGCCAGATGCAGTCAGCCACGTCACAGGCGTGTGGATCCAGATGAGAGCGGACTTTAGAGATGAGTGTGGTCCAATCGCGGGCGCAGGGAGACAAAGGGAAGGAAGAGGGTCAAAGTAGAGTGTTTCTCCGAAAAGCTGCTTTGACCACCGAGAGGAGGAGTTTCATGGAAAAGTGCTTAGTTAGAGTAAAAAGGTCTAAAAAGGAAATGGTTGCATCTTGAGAGGCCATCCCATCTTTATGGCCTGTTAGCATTGTCCCCATATTTCCTTGGAGGCGGTTAGCTACCCTTCCTGCTTATTTAACTCAAAGTAGATACTGAAAATAAAGACGACGCTGCCAAAAATCAATTTTTTACGCTGCCAAGTGTCCAGTAAAAAGAGCTAAGCAGCTAGGTGTCATAGTGTCCTTCCAATCACTACGATCACTGTGATCAAACAGTCGGCCTTTTGCATGTGTTGTTGTTATTGAAGTGTGCAGATCACTTGAAAATGGCCCAATTCTACGCCACGGAATCATCAGAAAGGCTTCTTTTTTCCTCCGTAACCCTCTTGGCAAATTGTTATGTGATAGGTCGGCGTTGTGGTGCATCGTGACAGGCACACTATTGTCCCCGTAGCAACATGTCACAACCAGTAGACATCAGAAGCCTCAGTGAGGATTTTTCACGGGGGAAATATGTCATGACCCGATAGGATTCCGGCTTCCCGTCACCTCGGATGTCAGTAGGTTTTGGAGCTATGTAATAAACTAAGGTTCGTTCTGGTGTCTATCTGCATATTCATGGGTACGATGCAGGTGAAGTGCACAGTAGTTCTACTCAGAAAATGCCAGAGCTGTGACTGTGTCTCAAAATTGCACCCCGTACTTTCCAATTCCGAGGTGATGAATTATGGATTTTAGGAAACATACTGGAGAAACAACTCAAAGTTCTCGGGGCGAATTTTATTTGTCACAAAAATCCATAATTTATCAAAAAGTCTTTCTCTGACCTTTGACCGCCTGCAGTCTGGAGTTATTGTTTTTTTGTGGTTTGTGCTATTTTGGTACCGATTCAGAACATTCGATTGGCCACTGTTGTTTGGAATCTGCAGTCGTAACTCCAACTCTGCGCGTCCTCTGGTGCGTTCTGGGTCAGATTTCTTTTTTTTTTTTCATCCCAATCCAACTTCTTAATCGAAGACTGCTTCACAAGCTACTTTGATGTGCACCTCAAAGTCCGTAATGGGGCGGCTGGACTCCGTTCGGGAAGATGATTGAACTTGTGTCGGTGTTTGACCAAATTTGACCAAACTGCTGTTGCAGTATGCTGGTGTCATTTTTCCAGCCATCGCAGTTGCACACATGTAGTAGTTTGCAGCAAACAACCACACATAATTTGTCCCTTTGTGATTAATCGATGGACGCTGTTGGATAAGAGATACTTCATGTTCTGTTCTTTTGGTCTCTTTCAGCTGATTATTTCAGTTGTACAACCTAATTGCACTATGGATAAACTCTACGTTCAGTGAACGTGAATTATTTCAGTCACATTTAGGAAATGAAAAGGTAAGACTGGTTCCCAAAAAACGCGTCAACATCTTTCTCCGTGTGACTTTCCTCTGCAGGACGATCCGGGAGCACTTAGGGGAGCAGGAGGTGTCCATCTCCCTGACCATCGACTCCCTGGAGGAGAATGACCTGGGCAACTACTCCTGCTACGTGGAGAACGGCAACGGGCGGAGACAGGCTAACATCCAGCTCGCCAGGAAAGGTGGGGCGAGCACCGCCCGAGCACACGCATTCATTTATCAGAGACCGGGGGGGGGGCGGGCGCACACAATGCACAATACTTGACTGTGACTTTCAGCACTGGGATGTTGAGGCCTCGGGATTTAGTGGTGGCACGTTGCACAGCTGAGGGTGTGAACCACCATTCAATCCCACAGTCCTTTGCTCTGACAACAGTAAGTCTCTGAGCAGAAAGTTCCTGAGTACAAAGACGACCGGTTGTTTCTTGCCTCGGGGAGGACAAGAAATTGGGACAGTGCAGTAGAGTAGTGCAGAAAGCCGACACATCTACCTCAGCCTGTGGAAGCGTCACTTTGAGAGAGAGAGAGGCAGCCTTCGGTGTTGTGATGCCAGGCAGTGACCTCCTCCATCACACACGCACACGTCCTCCTTTGATCCCCCCGACATGTTCTCATCTCTGACTGCTGTGCCCCCCCACTCCCCCCTGCCTTTTTATTCAAGCAAACATTTTTGAATCTTTCCTCTGATTTCGCCTCACTGAGGATGACTGTTTGAAATTTGATTCTGTGATGATTTGAAATGGAGAAGCACCCTTCCCAGCGCATACGAGTGAGATTTTTATTTTTTTTTTTCACGAGGCAGGGGAGGGGGGTCTCTGCTGCCTTAATGTTGTCAAGTGTTGAATACATTTACATAGTAGATATTTTTCCTCTCTTTTAAGCTCAGAGCTTTGGATCCAGCTTTGATGGCAGCCCAGTTCCCCTCCATTTGCTATATTAAAGGGGTTTATGCTGCACAGTCAAATCTCAGCCTAAACTGGGAGAAGATTAGCCTGGTTATCGCGGGTCCACGAGACATCGACCCAATTCCCATTTTTGTATTTGCTGCATCCCCGGTCTGGTTCAGTGTCCACGCCGCCTTTCAACGAGTTGCTTGTCTCTTGAAGCCGTGAAACCAACACGACGCTCCGAACGAAAATGTTCGTCTCGGCATCAAGCGGAATATGTCTCTGCTTTTCCACTTCTCATACAACTTCCCGTCGTCAAGAAGTTCTTGCAGTCGTCCTGGCCAACTTTTTCTCGTCTCCACATCCTCAGATGCATTCTTTATCTGGCAGCAGCAGCAGCAGCACTGTGTGGCAGATGGCTGCCTATGCTGTATATAACTAACATTTAGATTCTTGATTTGTGAACATGAGAAGCAGCAGACTCAGCTTTTACTCTTCTCACTGCTCCTCATCCTTATTTTACCATTCAACCCCCTCTGCGCCTTTTTTTTTCTTGTCTCTCTTTTCATCTCGCTCCCTAGACAACACAGAGAGAGAGAGAGAGAGAGAGAGAGACTGGGTAATGGAGGGAGAGAAAAGGGGGCTGATGAAACGGCGGACGCCACGTGGCTCCATCAAATCCAGCCTTCTAGTCAGCAGCTAATTTGTCTTAATCCGTTCCACTGCAGCGCTGCTGCAATATGGATGCCCGGCTGAGAGGAATTGGCCCCTTCCACTGTAATCTCTGCAGCTTGAGGAGCAGCTGGCTCGTTACACTGTCCGGGTATAGGGAGGGGGGGAGGGGTCCAGAGAGGTGGAGAGGAAGACAGTTGCTTGGATGCATCACCTCCAGCAGGCGCTTGTTAGCCGCAACTCCCCTCCCCGAAAAAAGTAAACAAATTCCAGAGGATTTCCAGGAGAGAAACTGAGGCGACGGTTTCGACGGGTGGGAGGCTGCGCTCATTCGCCCCGCGAGTTTGTTTGCTCTTTTGTTTGCGTGCGTCCGTCCGTAAGTTTGGCTGAAGGTCGTTGCCCAGACAGGCGTGATGAAGCGGCGCGGTCCGGGCTCGTTAGCTCTCCGGAACATCATCCCTCATCATGGGAGCTGTCAGCCTGATGGCCGCCGCAGCGGAATGGGCATCGCGCACCCCGACGAGGTTAAATGTGGGTCGGTGATGGATGGCGATGCACGCGAGTCCTCTGCATCCGTGTGTGTGTGTGCGGCATTGCGGCGATTCCGGCCCTTTACTGTTGTCCATTAGTCAGCCAATGAAGGCTGACCACCCAGATTTTGTGAGGCGTAGCCAAGAGAAAATGTCGAACTGCAAAAGATGGAGTGACATCAGACAAACGCTGTAAAAAGCAGAAGGGAAAAAAATGTCCTGAAAATACTTTGTGGTCAAGACGAGCTACCCGACCGTGGATCTTAATGGAGTCCATTGTCCTGTAATGTAGATCACCTTTCATCTTATTAAATAACTACTGGCTGCTCCGTCCCCGTCCTCCTTCAAACACAGTAACCCAACTTGGAATAATGTGTGGTAGTGTACTAACAACAGTCCTGCAGTTCCTTTAATCGAGCTTCCACGAGTTCACGTCGGCCCGCAGTGATGACGGACGGCGCGGAGAGAGCGGCGTGATGCGTTTCCGTTGAGCTGTTGTTCTCCCGGTTGTGATCTATTTTATTATTACAGGTCATCCATCATCCATCATCATGCATTCTTTCGCATGTTTTGATGTTCTGGGGTCAGATTTATTTTGACAGCAGAGAAATAAGTGTTGGAACTGTGCAGCTTTCTGACGCTTTGTAGAGCCTTAGAAAATAATATACAGCTTTGCAGCATCAACCGTCTGCAGTTTGATCAGAAAGAAATCTTGAAAATAATAAAACTTTCACATTGTCACCAGACTGTGCACTTGCTTTTATTGAAAAGTTTCTTGTGTGATTCTTCCAGAGTCCAGTGAAGGCACGGATATCTCAGAAGAATCAGTCAATTCCAAGCCTTTTTCCAAGTACAATAGAAGTACTTTTTAACCCAGTTATTTACTTTTACTCAAACTTTAAGCCATTTTACACAACGGATACATTTTAAACTAGATGAAAATATTTTAATTACAGAAAAAGGATTGTCTGAGTACACAGAATATTCTGTAATGCAATTTCTGGGTTTGTTTGACGTTTTCCTTACTGAGGCAGATCCAGGATTCGTAGAACCGTAGTTCCATACGTACCGTCCGTACATCGCCTTTTGTTTAAGTCGGTTGTCTGTATTTTAATGTATGCTGCCATCTTGAACAGTCGAGTTGAAATAGAAAAGAAATAACTTCTCCCTGTGTCACTGTGTCGTCACCCTGTTAGCCGAGCTGATGTACACGGTGGAGCTGGCCGGAGGTCTGGGAGCCATCCTGATGCTGCTCATCTGCCTGGTGACGCTCTACAAGTGCTACAGAATTGAGCTCATGCTCTTCTACCGAAGCCACTTCGGCAGTGAGGATATAGACGGAGGTAAGATGAGATACGGCGCGAGACACAATTTACTCTGCGGCGTTATATAATAATCCTCCATAATCTGTGATAGCACAGTGTTTTCTCTTCGGTGCATGAATTCTAAAGCTCCCTCCTCTGCTGTGGAAGCATCCTTCCTCTCTGCATATTTCTTTTTACTCAGAAGACACCTGGGCTATTTTCCAACCATAAAGCTCCACCTGGCACTGGTTTGATGTAAATGTGCACCTGGTTCATCAGTCCAAATGACGCAGAGAGAGCTTCTAAATGTTCTCAATTCAAAAAGGATGTCGCCAATTCCAACAAGTCTTGTGGGGCATTGACGTTTTCCAACGTTTTCCCCTCTCGCTTCGCCTCGGAGCCTCCAACAGGCGGGTCGGGTTCAGCTTTTTTGGTCGATGTGTATTTTTATCTTTCCGGATAACAAGCATCAACGCATACGAGTTAGCAGTGTCAGTCGGTATTTGCGGTCCACTCTCCACCATGTCACTGACATTGTGTTTATTGCCGCACATCTTTTGCTTTGGATCGAGCGGCGATGACTTTGATCAGACTGGCGGAGAGCAGCCTCAAAAAGTCCTACAAGCAGTAATTTAAGACCACTGTCAATAAAAGCCGTTTGCTAGGGGCACACTGGTGTCGGTGTTGGGAGTGAATAAAGAGAAGCCCACAGTAGGGAGCAAAACAGATTGCCTGTTTGAAAATGGAAGTTTGGAGGAAGTGCTATTTGTGACAATTCAGTCCAGTCCACTCGTTTCTGTTACTCTGTTTGTTTTCTTATGAATTAAATGTAGGTTTAACTTAAGTCTAAAAATATTAAGCATTAAAAATGTCAATCAAAAAAAAGTCAAAATAAAATGGGTCGGAAAATGTTCTCCCCATTGGACATGGAGTTAAAGAGGGTGGGGGGGGCCGCCCATCAGCAATAGTCAAAGAAAAAGGCCCTCATTGGACCTGCTGCATGCTGAGTCTTGTCTTGAGGATGCATCGCGGAGCAAGTTTTAATTTGATTGCCCTGTAATGAGTCCCTCAAGTAGCCGCGCGGCAATTTGACTGCAATGAGATCAGTTGGGAGCGGCTGAGGAGACGGACAGCGAGAAGAGTTACGAGCATTAAAAGGTAAAAAGCACTCTGCTTCCTCACCTCATACAGACTGTGCTGCCTGCCCAAGTCCTTCATTCCGCCGGTGTTGCCTTAAAGGATGGCCCAGAGGCAGTTGTGTTGAAATGTGGGGAGGGGGGGGGGGGGCAGAAATGTCTGGACTTGAGCTTCATGCCAAACAGCAATTGTCTCCTTTAATTGTGCCACCCGAGTGAGCGCTGGGAGAGCGAGGAACACATTTCCAATTTGTTTCTCAGTATGAGAGGGGGGGGATCAGGTTCAATAAACCACAGCGAGCTGACTCTGGAGCTCTCGGGAGACTCTTGGTACTTTTCTCCCACGCCGCGGCCTATTTAGATCACCTCACCTCTGGCACGCGCGCGCATTCACGAGTGCACGCGCCCTCCAGCGCCCCCCACGGTTTACCTCCTGCTCCGACGACAGTGTGCCTGAGGTGAATCCCGAAGGGGTAAAGTGTTAAAACGTCGACCGAGCGAATGAGTGGAGGCACAAGGGCCCGGTCCGGCTTTGCCAGCAGGTGGTTAACTGAGATCCCATCGCCGTGGTAACCACTGTGAGACGCAGTTGCGCACACAAATAGTTTTCATAAGTGAAGCCCTTCAGCCGGTATCTGGGATGCAGCATCACATAAATCACACGTCGTCACTCACTGCCGAGGAAGTGCTCGCGTTTGACCGCGGCCACGCGGAGAACTAATTGAGCGCCCGCCTCCCTCTTCTGCAAAATGGTAAGCGGTACGTAACAATAGGGACGGACTGTCAGCTATTTGTCAGCGCAGCTATTTAGTTAAAGACCGCTCAGTTGTCACGTTGTGTGGGTGTTAGTAGAATCGATAATAGGCCTCGCGACGACAACAGCCCGGCGAGCTTGTCGAGGAGGCGGGAGCTCGTCAACACTCTGCCATAAATACCGATGTCAGCGTTGTCAGCGCGGCGTGAGGCTGCGAGGCTCCGTCTGTGTTCGGCCGCAGTTCGATTTGCATATTGGAGATGCAGAGGTAAACATCACAACGTGGTTCGTAAGGAGGTGCTCAAATTATTTTGCTTCCCGAGTGATATTGTCAAATGTGTAGAACAAAGGAGACACACTAAACTGCTTTTGCGCGGGTGAAACATGGATCATCGCGGATAAATCTGCAGATAAGTGGGAAAAATATATGGACTTTTGGTTAGACAAAAGAAGACATTTGAAGGAGTCACCTTGGCCTCTGAGAAGTGTTGATGGCCTTCTGCAAATGCTAATTTCCAAGGAAGTTTGCTTGAATTGACTTTTCAATTTGGTTCTAATTCTAGGAACAACATAAATGTCCTTCAGTGAAAAGTTCAATTTACCAAGTACATCATTTATTTGTTAAACTATGATCTCCAAAAGTTTAGGTGAGCTAAAAAATATCGTCTTTAAAGTCAGTCAATTGGACTTTGAAAGTCCCTGTACAATTTACCCACTTTTCCCAGTAATTAATTTGTAATTACATCCAGTTCTTCAACAGAACACCTGGGAATGAATTCTGAAAATACGAAACCGGAGATCCTCCACTGTTGCTTATGTACTGTTTTCTATTCACTAAAGAACAATTTGATCGTGGCAATAATCCTCAGTCGCAGCCCAATATGACCTCAGGTGGCTGTTTATTGCTTATCAAAAACAAAACGGCACGTTTTAAAGCACTCAGCTCCTGATTAGCAGTCCGCCTCCTACGCTTCTCCAGCTCCAGAGTTAAGTATGGTGTGTTACGTTCTAATTTACTCTCCATTAAATATAATGGGGCCCAGAAATATCCCGGAGATTAACGCCTCCAATTCTCCTGGCGCTCTCCACCGCGAGTTCAAGAGTTCACCGTCTAACTGTGGGCTCTGCGTGCACGTGCGTCGATATCACCGCGCACCCCCACGTGCACCGAGCGTCGCCCCCTCTGCAGTGGGCCCCCCGTGGGACGGAGGAGTGCTGGATGCGGTTTCGGTGCTCCGCACCAGGTCTGCTGTGTGGAGCGACTGCTGGAGGTGCAGCAGGGGGGGGTCATCCCTCCCCCAACCCCCCTCCCCACTTCCTCCGCCTTCTTTCTCTTTCCCACTACAGGCGAGTGAATCAGTTCCACTGAAATAGCCCCTGATCCGCCAACACAGCTTTCGTTTAGATGCTACCAGAGAACAAACGGCCAGGGAGATTCATGTCGCCGAGAAGTAGAATATGAGCGTTGTGAGGTTATTATTCAATTATTTTTATACGTCCCTGATGCTGTAAGATGAATTGCTTTTTATACCAAGCAGTATGATTAATTGCAGTGTTACGTGCGAGTGCCAAATATCCAGATTAGCCACGGGGAAGAGAGAGTCTTGTCCACGGTCGCATGGAGCAAAGGCAAGCGGGAGTGTATAGTAGGGTTATTACTGTACTGAGCGTTGATCTCAAAATCCCTCCTCGTGAACCGAGCTGCTTTCCTACTCTACCCGACCCGACTCTCTCATCCTGTGCTGCTGTCGTCTCTGGTGTCTCGACAGGTTAAACATCCGCCAGCAGAACGCGCACTGCAGGCGGCCACTGTAAAGCAAAGGGAACCATAACGAAGACAGCCGCTCAAAAGATCCAACGCCCGCTCACGTCACTAATTCACCTCAAAGGCTGCGCTCATCCTAATTCTTAGTCCCCCCCCTTTTTTTGGTGTAAAATATGACAGTTTTAGTCAATAAAAAAACACATAGAATCTTATATTTGTGTGTCTGTCTGAAAAATATGACCCCAGAAAATGCCAGGCGTTATTGGCACTATTTGATTGGTGGTAACAGTCGCAAATGGCCAATGAGAATCAGGAGGGGCCGGTCTACCAATTTACACAAAGTCCTTCTATTGTATGAATAAAAACCTTTATCAGGTTTTTTAAAGCTTATTACATATGCGACTGGTGCAATTCTGTTATTTCTGCAATGATAGGTTTGTTCTGGGCTAAACAACTAAATTGGTAAACATTGTCTTTAACTTGAAAACCTTATATTTACAGTAGTGCTGGGCACGTTAACGCAAACCAATAACGCCAGCTTGATTTCATCTTTATCGGCATTACACTTTTTCTTTTTTTTTATCCTTGGGAGGGGCTTATCACTGCTGCGCACATTAACCGAGAAAATGGAGAAAGGTACGGCACTTTTAAATGCATTTTCCATCTCTACCAGACGGCGTAGTCGATAAAAGCAAAGCCCTTTGTAACCACTGCAAAGAGGAAGTGTCTTATCACCAGAGTATACGAGGCTGAAGTACCATTTAAAGCGTCACGCGGCATCGAAAAAACTGTCGACAAACCAACGCAAGAAGAAGGAAGCGTCCTTAGAATCGCACCAAATGAGCCTCCCCCAACATGCACGGCCGTGAGGAGAATACACAAGTTGTATGAAACGGAGTGACGGCGTTACAACGAGCACCAGATGTTGCTCTCACTGCCGACAACATCTGCACCCTGTGAAAGGTGTTTTTCTGTGGCTGGTCATGTTGTTCAGAAGAGCGTTCTTTATCACCTGAAAATGTAAATCACCTTGTATGTCTTTTCTTTGACTGAGATTCAAAGGAAATTGAGAGTCTATACAGACTAAAAAGTCCTTTTTTTGTGCTAGTTCACTTGACCTCACTCACAGGGACCTTTACCACTGAACATATGCTGCATTATGCTCTTCCCCGATAAGAGAGAAATGGTACCTGTTCAGAAAAAGAAATTACTTTAACTTGCTGTTGCTTCGAGAGTGCCTCTTGTATTATTCTGATAGCGTTACTTACAAAATAAAAGCGTCCAATATATTAGTTTCTAGTGAGTCATTTTGCACATAATGCGATTAATTGCTGTTAATCACAGAACAATCATGCGATTAATCAAGTTACATTTTATTGTCTTTGCCCAGCACTAATATACAGCGTTACTTCTTCACAATATCATTCAAGGAAAAAGAAACCTTTGAAGGTTACATTTTCCTCAATTACTGATGTACATGATTAGGCAACAATCATGGTTTCTGACCAGCTGCCACTTGAGTAAACACTCTCTCAGCGACTTCACAGTTGGTCTCATTCATTTAGGAAAAGCTTTGGTCTTGTTCTTTTCTGCCTTTTGTAGATATGTAACAAGCTAGGAGCTATAAACAATGCTGTCCCATCCGCCCCAGGGGGGCCGTGTGCTACCTACCAACCAGGATTCACCCGGCATTGACTGATATGCCAGAAAATACGCTTTCCTACAATTTGTTTTTGTATGCAGCAGTAAGGTAGAAGAAAAATAACAAAAGAGACTATGAATAAATGGAGCATTTTCGAGGGTTAAAGTAAAGAGCATGGTAAACAGATGATGCATAGACACCGACGTCCACACCCTTTCATGCAATGTCAGAAACGATCCTCCTGGTCAGGGACCCAATCGATCTAATAGGTGTGGTTCTGTCGTTCAGTCGGCTTTGAGCACAACGCTGGAGTGAAGTTACAAGGGAAGCAATAGACTGTTATCTCCTTCCCGTGGTACCCTGAGGATCTGGCATATCTCTCCTCCATGTCTTCCCTTTCAATCCCCCTCCTGACTCATTGCACTGAAGTGCTCCAGCTCGAGATGAAACATTTAAGACTTCCCTCACTTCTCACTTTCGGGTGCTCCGCGTCAATCTTTGCAAATCCACCATCAATCAGGGCTTTCATGTGGGTGATGGAGCCTCGCCACGTGTCGGCCCGAGCGGGCAATGCGGGGCGTTTAGCCCAGGCGGGAGACTAATTTGTTTTGCCTGCAGTGGGCACCGTAGCTATGAAGGTAGCGTAATTCGTCAGTGGGGACGGAGCTGTAATGAAAAGCACTCGGATGGGCAGAAGTGCCCAGAGGTCAGTGTAATGGAGGCGGCCCGTCTCAATGAAGTCTCCCAGTGAATGAATAGCTGTCTGGGCACCAGTATGAAGGGAGATAGCGAGCATCTGGGCCTTAGCAGCGCATATCTATGCTGACCACAGCAGGAAACATTATAAAAAATATCCGACTTTAATTGGGGCCAAGTGGTTTTGGGAGCTTTCTCGATGCCCGTACATGAAGGGCAGCAGGTATTCAAGGGAAGAGACTTTCCTTTTATTGGGTGAGCCGAGCCGAACGATGCCTGCTGATGTGCCAGGTGCGTGCCAGGAGACGTGACATTTCACCCGTCTCCGTGTCTGCCCCCCCCACCTCTACCCGCAGATAACAAGGACTACGACGCCTACCTGTCCTACACCAAGGTGGACCCAGACCAGTGGAGCCAGGAGACCCGGGAGGAGGAGCGCTTTGCCCTGGAGATCCTCCCCGACGTGCTGGAGAAGCATTATGGGTATAAACTCTTCATTCCAGACAGGGACTTGATCCCCACAGGAAGTAAGCTCTCTCTCTCGCGGCGACGTCAAAGTTGTGTCGAATGTCTTGTCGCTTGGTGTTGCTCGTGTCGTCAGTGCCGTGGTGGTATGCCTTGTTTGTGGCTCTTCTGTGATGCATTTGTGTTGTGGCGTGTCCCTAAGACCCTCATTGTTTTAATCTGGTCGAGCTTTCTTTAATCACTGGGGGAACTGAAGTGGATCAGTATGTAAAAGGTGGAAGTCGGGGGTTCTTCAGTACTGAAATTGATGAGCAAACGGTCGAACCAAAGTGGCAGCAAGATGAGCGGAAACCCGACCAAACCGACCGAAGCATCGACGGTACGATCCCGATTTTATTAAACAATCCGCCGCTAACAGCCCCTCCAAACCCTGGTTGGCTCGGGTCTAAACGCGTCTGAAGAACCCCTGAAGTTTACTGCGGCTCAGTTTTAATTGTCCTCCCCGCCCACGCCGAGCAGGGAGGCCGCATATTAACAATCAGGGTTGAGGAGCCTCCGATGACACGTTTCATGAATCCGACACTCAAAAATCGAACATTAGTCGGACGTTTATTCGAATCACCCGACTGAGCAGTCAGATTTCCTTTTTAAGATGAGCAAATACAGCCCGTTTAATTAATGTGACAAACAAATCCCTCACAGATAATGGTAATGACACATTTTGATAACTGTAGGAGGCAACTCCTGTATCAAGACGACTAATATTTGACTCAAACTGACTTTCCAGATAGTGAAAGGCTGCCCGCTCTTAATGTGTCAGTGTTGATAACCCAGTAATATAATATGGGAAGGGTTGGTTTTTTTGCAGAAGCCGACTGTACTTTTTCCAGAGGGAGGGGTTTTCCTTGCAGACCCCCCCCCCCCAAGAGAAGTTTAGGAACTCAGTTTAAATGGCAATTGAATTCATAAAATTATCAGTATCCAATGTATGCTGTAGGCTTTTCTTTGTGAAAGTGAATTCATGACTAAACAGATAAGCACAAGAAAAAGTCCGGATTAAGCACTTGGTTCTATGTACCAAAGTATTTTAAAGTACGTTGTCTGCATAATGCAAAGCCCCTGGAAGGTGTAACAGGGCTGAATTACATATCGAGGATAATTGGCGCAGCCAAGAAAGAGCCAACGTGTTATCCCGGTCCATGTCCTGATCCAGCTCTGCACAAAGTGTACCTCCGCATGCTGCCGTGTAATGATGTCAGCTGTACCATGCAAACGCTCTCGCCGCATGGATGTTAATGCATGTTTTACCACAGTATATTTCTAATGGAGCGTCTCACCATGCCCTGCGCTTATCTTTGATTAACTCATCACGCAGATGAGTTGGATGATCTCATTACGCTATTAGCTTCCATTTGAATACTTGCATCTGCCTGTGTTGCCGCACATACCGCCATTACTAATTATGTTCCTCTTCGGTGGCATCGTGCCAAGGTTATAAACTGAATCCCTCGCTGTGATTATGTGCTCGATGCGAGGGGACCTTTGTAATATGGGAAAGATGGCATAAAAATGCAAGGATTGAGAGGAATCCAAAGTGTGTCCGCCGCTACTCCGGCTCGCTAGTATATTGTGTTTGTGCACAAACACGTGGCTCCCATTGGGAATGGATTAGCATCTCAGCAGTTGATATAATAAGGCATAATCCACCACTATAGATAAACACGGTTTGGCCGTTTGGGGTTTCAACATGTGTCAACAATCCTTCTCCTGAGCGGCTGATCAAAAGCGTGTTGTTGCACAGCACGCTGGATTATTTTTATGAGCATTTTAAACATCTCGCCAGTGTAATAGAAGGCTTGTATATGTATAGTGTATCAGTCTATGGCAACAAAAGTGCCACTGGGCTAAATTTGCCTGCGAAATAACAAAGTGTTTTTCCTCGACTTTTTTATGCTACATGTCCCATATTAAACTGGAATAAACTGGTCAGAGTGTTTCACATTGGCCAGTGGAGAACCACAGTTTATGCCGGAGTCGAGTGCCCACGTTCACAAAAGTGTTTTGGTTTTTTTCAAATGCTTTTCTGCCCATTTTTTGATCCTACTTTAAATGTAAATATTTATGTTTAGGTTTCACCAATGATCATTTCCAGGATGACACAAGACTACTTAGAGGTACTTTTTCCACAGATTTTTAACTTTTGTGTCAACACACAATGATTCAGATTTTGTCATCAAATCGAAATTCATCTTCAAGTCATCATTTGTAAAGGTTTAAACATTTCTACTAATTGTTTTATAAATTGTTTATATTTTGGTCAGTAACACCCATCATCACTGGATTAATACATGATTTATTAATTGAGTATAAAGTCAGTAAATACAACTTGTAACGCCTTCATAAAACTTGAATTATGAAATGTTTTTTTTAACATGTATTTACCTAAATTACAGAATTACACATCCGTTAGTTTCTTGTGTTTGTTTTTTCGCTGTGTTCACGACATTCGATGCATCAAAGCTCTTCAATCAGTCAGTCTCAGAAATATATTCCAAGTGTTTTGTTGTGTCTAAACTTCATAGCTACTCAGGGAGCCAGAAGCCAGCCATCGTTCATCCCGACCGGCGAACAAAACAAGCGCACTCTGCTGGTCTTTGGCTCTGCCGTGTTTGAGGCTGTAGCCTCTGCTTTGTCGGAAACAAAGCTCCAGTTTCTGATCGTGTTGCAGCAACTAAATCAACACGGTGGTGAACGTGTCTATTGACACATATTGCCGATAAATAAATAAGCAATAACTCGTGGTATCGGCGGTTAATTAATCTCCCTCACTGCTTTGCTTTGAATTTCAAGTAACGTTTTTCTTTGCTGGAAGTCTGAACTTCTGGCGATAACATCCTGCCATTCGTTGCCACGAGGTGCTTTTTCCCTGTTGGAAAATAATTGAGATAAACTACAGAGAGCACGGCAACAGTGATTTTCTGCCTGGTGTAATTTGCCGTTGATTTTATTTTTATTCAGCCAAGAATCAATTATTACACATGCAGCACTTTGATTGTAAAGCCTGGCAGGTCTATAATCTATAATGCTGTAAACTATTACCAGCTGGCACCCGAAGAGGGCATATTTACTTTATAGTTTAGTCAATTCAAAACATCAAATCAAAGTACACCTCATTAGTTAATTATATAGTATCCATTTATCCGTTCCCATTCGTGGACAAACTGCCTGATTCCTTTAACCTGAGCGGCTTGAACCTTAGCGGCTTGTACTTTTGCTCCGGGGAGGCGTCGTGACGACCTACCGCATGAGGACCAATTAGCAAGCGGCACGGAGAGTGACTGCCGTGGGGGAGCGCGGCCCAGTTTACGCTAATCAGGTCTCTCTCGTGGCGAAGCAGCTCATGAAAGGCGGGGTTTATCCTCAGAGGCACGGGAGATGTGGCATAAGGACCGGCAAGATATCTTCCTCTCTCACACACACACACACACACACATTAAGCATCTCTTTGTCGCGTGACTTAAACACCACAGACTGATCACGCTCAGTTTGACGCAAGCAGCAGAACTGCTCATTAAGAACAAGGACACAATACTTTATTTATTGTATCTCCACAGTGGAATGTTGCTTGGCTTTAAGTGTTTTATGTTTATCGTCATCTTATGGTAAAAACCAAGTGATCCCCTTCCTCTTGTTGTGTCTATTATTCAGTATGAACAAGTCTTATCAAGTGCTGCAGAGGCTTTAGATGTCTGCATTCGTTAGAATACATAACATATCTGTTATCTTTATTGAATGCATCAATACCCTCATTGATAGATCCGTGTTGCCTCCGATGTTTTATTTAATCGGATTTAATCTCTCTTTAAGAACCACATTTTTCTCTTGTTGATTGAATTCGGTTGTTGGAAACGTTGAGCAGTCGCTTCGAGGCCAACGGAATTGTTCCGATAGTCGTTGCGAAATGTCTCGTGTTTTCATTGCTTTCATCAACAATTAGTCATCACTGTCAAATACAGACCGTAAACACGTTTATTACACGTTACATTTCTGCTGCTATTTATACAAAGTCATCTCTCCGGGTTTCCCCCTCTCTGTGTGCACTCAGCGTACATCGAGGACGTGGCGCGCTGCGTGGACCAGAGCAAGCGACTCATCATCGTCATGACGCCCAGCTACGTGGTGCGGAGGGGGTGGAGCATCTTTGAGCTGGAGACGAGGCTGCGCAACATGCTGGTGACCGGCGAGATCAAGGTCATCCTGATCGAGTGCGCCGAGCTGCGCGGCATCATGAACTACCAGGAGGTGGAGGCCCTCAAACACACCATCAAGATGCTGACGGTCATCAAGTGGCGCGGCCCGTCCAGCAACAAGCTCAACTCCAAGTTCTGGAAGCAGCTGCTCTACGAGATGCCCTTCAAGCGCATGGAGCCCCTGAGCATCTCCCACGAGCAGGTGCTGGACGTCAGCGAGCAGGGCCCCTTCGGCGAGCTCCAGACCGTCTCGGCCATCTCCATGGCGGCCGCCACCTCCACCGCCATGGCGACGACGCACCCGGACTTGCGCTCCACCTTCCACAACTCCTGCCACACCCAGATGCGGCAGAAACACTATTACCGTAGCTACGAGTACGACCTGCCCCCCGGCGGCACGCTCCCGCCGCTCGCCACGCTCGGCAGCCAGCACACCTACTGCAACATCCCCATGACGCTCATCAACGGACAGCGGCCGCAGTCCAAGTCGCCGCGCCAGCAGAGCCTGGAGGAGGCCCATGGCAACAACGCCATGCTGCCGCTGCTGCCCAGGGAGACCAGCATATCCAGCGTCATCTGGTGACAGAGGCGGAGGCGGCGGGCGGCGGATCAGCACGGCGAGGACCTGCCACCGGCGCTCGGAGCCTGAGCGCGGCGGGGGCCAGGCGGGCCGGAGGGACGTCGGGCTCCTCGCTGCCTGTGGAATTTTGCACCAGGAAACACCGGGGGGAGGAAGGAGGCGCTGGACTGGTCGTGCGCCGAGGAGGCGGCAGGTTTTTCTTCTTCTTTTGGTCCAATAAGAGCTTTTATTGAACATGAACAAGGAAAAAAAGAACTTTTTTTGTATGCCTGTATAAACATTCACGTAACACAAGCCAACACCTATGATCATTTACGCAGACGGTTCAAGGGATACAGGGTCCTGTACATATTCGTTTTTCTAATTCTTTGTAGCATCAGTGTTTGGGACTTCTTACGTTTTATCATCAGTCGGGTTCTTCTTTGTTTTGTTTTCATTTCAGTTTGTACAAAAGTGAAGCGATGGCCTGTGAGATGTTTTGGATAAAACCGTTATATCTTTATCTTAATTTGTTGGCTGGTGTAGTTTATAAAGCTTTTGGGAGTCTTTCGTGGAGGGGGGGGGGTTGGTGAAGTTGAAGATGAGAACTGTTTGGTTTGTATTTCAGGGAGTTTCAGCTCCACCGGCTGCGTTAAAAGGGTTGAGAGTCTGGACTCACCCAGGATATGCAAAACATGGAGTCCAGAGAGCGGAGACGGGATGGGTTTCACAAATCGATCTTATCCCAACAATTTGGGAAACGTCCCGTCGGGGAAGGAGGGTATGAAGAACATGGTGCTAGGCTTCACATCTCTATGATAACATTTACTTTTAGAAAAAAAAGAAAAAAAACAGCCTTGCTATTTACCTTAACAGATGATTATATCACCTAAAATGAATTATGTGTATTATTTTATGAAAAAGAAAGGTATATTTTTGTATATCTGAGGGATATTTGCTTAGAGATGTTATAACTGAAGTTTCAGATAGAAGGAATCGGGGGAAACGTAACATAAAATAACAATGTTTTGTTATGTGGAACTGCACAGCTCACAGAACTCGATAGATCATTCACTAAATGTCTTACCCTTATATTACAAGAGACAAAAAAAACAGTTTGTTGGCTGTTTTCACCGTTAAAAAGAGGAGTCTTGACATTTCAAAACAAAACAGGCTTTTTATGTTCGTTCACAGTCGAGTTAACAAGGACGGAGGAGAGGGACGCCGTCACATTCACCCCAAGGACCAAACGAGGCCGTCCAGGGCGAAACAAGGATCCATGTTACGGGTTTCCTCCTCGATGGCAGCTGTGTTGTTCGAGTGCCGTTTCAAAATGAGTGTGAAAACATCTTATACTGTGAATGTGACGTAACATTTCAGAGGACTTCATCTTTTATATGTTTGATCTGCTGTCCAATGATTAGCCTTTCTGAAGGAAACCGTCCCAAATAAGATGTAATGGATGTTTAAGAGAGACAAGATTCTATTTATAAATTTAAATTAAATCCTGGAGTATATTTAAGCATACAAGATAAATGCTAAAAAGTTAGACCAAAGCAACATACAGCAAAGTCCCAATTTCATCCACAAAATGCTCTTGGGGAAGCTTCCCTCGTCGTCGATGTCATCAAATCCTACGAATGAAGAGCGATACTCGCGCATCCACTCGGACCCGTGCACTCACTGCTGCTGCAGCCGTGCCGTATCACTTGTCAAGAAACTAACCCCGTACTAAACTACCCGCAGAATCTCGTCACGAGGAGCTGTTTCATTTAGTGCCAGAAAATATGCAAAGTGTTGAACCTGTAAACAGTGAATGAGACGTAGTGTTTTGTCCTCCGATTCATTTTCTTGCACTCTTCACTTGGAGAAATAAGATACTCCAGAAAAGGGCCTGTTTTGTTTTTCATGTGCTGTATGCGGACAAATTTGCATTGAAAGGAACTGTCCTTCGTTGGAGGTCTTTTAATCGATCAATAGGTTATTAGAGCCGGGCCTGTCGTTTTTTTTTATCCACCTCAATCAGACCCGCTTTCACTCCATATGAAGAGTAAAGTAATATGGATTCCGTTCAAAGGCACCATGGGTGAACCGGGGAGCTGGTGGTGCTGTGTGACACGGCGTTGTGTAAATATAATCAAGACAATAACGGGATTAAGATGAAGACAATCGAGCCATATTCATGAAACCGACGGCCGTCCAAGTAGGAATACTAATGCTCGCTGGAGGTTATAAGCCGGCGCTCCTGCTTTGGGAAGACTTGCGCCAACGCAAACAAGATCGTGGGGGCCGATACACACATTTGTGTTTCATGGGGAATTGGAACATTTGTGGCGACGAGGCATTGACGATAAAGATGATGATGATGAATAACAATGACAATATATAGCACAGAATTATTCCAGGCACTTTCACGACTCTTGAGGCGACGTGTCTCCTGTTTCTGATTTATTTTCTATTCTGTATCTGCAATGTTCATTAAAAGAGATACTGTTATTATTAATAAAACCACATTTACGGTAATGTGATCCCTCCGTTGCGTGTGTCTGTGTGTGCAGAGAGAGTCCGCTCGCTTGGTTTATGGAGCGGCGGCCTACATTGCTGACGCCGCCGGATCCCTTCTCCTGGCGGGGAGCCGAGCCCCCCCGACCGCCATAACTCTGCCGTACCCCGTAAAACCTTGAAACAACAATCAATACGTCTCCTGATTCCACTCGGAGACTAACTCAGCCGGGGGGGGCTCGTTTTGGAATGAGACTAAATCAGAGTGGATGGGTGGAGGAACACGTGGAGAAAGAAAAGAAGGCCACGTCCTGCTTGTTGTGTGACCGCGGTGCACTTTTGCCCGCAATCACACGACGACTGGCACATTGTGGATTCATATTTTAGAATTCAACTTCAGACTGCGACCTAGTTGGTTTTTAGCTATTCGGCGCTGTCGAGGCTTGAAACCCTCAACGTATTCAGAGTCTCATGCGTTTATTGGCTTTTTCAGTGGAGAACAGGATCATATTTCTGCCAGCGGGATTCAAAGCAGATAAACAACCCCCCCCTCCGCCCCCCCTCACCACCCTTTGCCTCAAAAGAGTCTGCCCACAGCGGAGCTTTTTTACTCAATGGGATTGGAGAATGAAAAAGAAACAGAGGCACGTGGGAAGGAGCTGTTAATTAGCAACGGAACGGAAAGCACCAATCTCACCGGTGGGGGTATCAGCCGTCTCTCCCCATACCAACATTTGGTTACGTAAAGACAAAGAAAATGTGCGGTTTTACGTGTCCATCGTGGTCCAGTCAAGAACAAAAGAAGAGTGCACTTCCACTTCTACACGTTTTGACTTGAAGTCAAACAGGAGACTCTCTGCACTGTACTTCAGTGATCCTCATCATCAGAGTGACGTATTCTGCGATGACGACAAAGACAATGTACCAAGGTGGGGACGCACAACTTGGACGCTTCATGCATCATGCTTGAATTTCACCTCTCTCTCTCTCTCTCACAGACCAGCTGGGGGAGCATTTCCCCGCTGCAGCAGCGATGTATAGAAAGCTAAAGGTAGAAAGGTAAAAACACTTCTGCTAGGTGAGTCACGCTGCTGCTTCCCGCTATAGAGATGAGCAGCTGCGTCCCTCTACTCGCTGGCCTCTTATTGATCCATAGGAAGCGTGACGTTCTCTATAGCCATCTTGGTGGAGAGGTGGTGGGGGGGTTAACATGCAGCTTCATTATGATCATCTGTGCCCGTGTGGGCATAAAGGCACCGCTGGGTGTTTTCACCCAGGGCCGACAGGTTGATGTACAGTTTCTCAGGCTGGATCCATGGAAAGAGGGGAGCTCCTTAGCTTTGACCCCCCCTGCATACACACACAGACAAATAAATGATGTCATTTCACTCCATTACACCGTCATAAGCTCCCGGAAACAGAAGCATGCGACGTGGAGGGCGACGCAATCACTGCACTGAGAGCAGATGAGGCTACGAGCTCATGCACAGATGTTGTTTCTTCGCCCGCCTACACACACACACACACACACACTGGTGAAGAGTATTACTCAGTTTGGCAGGTATACCATGCCCCTCCATGTCTCACAGGGGCTTGTTACTTGGAGCTCGGTGCTCGGTGCCCTGTGTGACAAGTCTTCCACTTGAAGAACCAGGCCAATTGTCTGTGCATGGATAGGTGGCAGCGCAGGATAGTTGTGTGTGTGACTGTGTGTGTGTTTGTGTGTGTGTGTGTGTGTGTGTGTGTGGGAGAGAGGGAGAGAGAGAGAGAGAGCTGAAAGCATTTGGAGAGTGAATGCAGGCAGCTGTTAACCCAGTTTTGGAATAACCATGGTTCAGCACGGCATAATTGGCTGTGCATGCAGTGTGAGTGGAAGATGCAAGTCATGGATCACTGATTACTTACGAAGCCCTTCAATTTACTGCTGCTGCCTGCAAGAGCGCCTCCATCTTCAATCAATTATTATTTTACAATCATGTCGATGTGTGAGCGGTGAACTCGTGTATCGATTTTGACCGCGGATGCAGCGAGCTTATCAAAGGATACTGGATGGATGGATTAATCAGAATGAAGGCAAGTTGCGTCATATTATCTTCTTGTAATGAGAATAAAGAGTCGCCACATGAATTTAAGGCTGTTTCTGCAAACGCCACTGAAATAATGCAGAGAGAAAAGGGGAAGTTCCAAAGTGGAAGGCTGCCACCTGCTGGACACACTTCCCACTGCAGCTCAGCTCAGTCCAACACAAAGCATGCTGGGAGTGGGAGGAGAGTATGTTTAAATTGATTTGATTAGATTCAACTTTATTGTCATTGCACAGAGTACAGGTAGCCTACTGAGACAACAGAATGCAGTTTAGCGTCCAACCAGAAGTGCAAGCAGATAAAGTGCAGAGTGTACATAAATAAATGTACAGTGTGAAATGTACATGGAGCAGTATGTGCATTAAGCAGGTGGGTTGTAAATACGAATGACAAGTTAGTGCAAATGTAACATAGTTGTGCAAATATGGCATAATTGTGCAACTCAGCAGGGTGACAGCGGTAGTTTTCACCCTCCTTTGGCTTTGCACACAATAAGCTCCTTGGTGACACCGATGATCATTCCACACACATGTTTATCAATTTATAGTGATGGATATGCTTTGATATGTTACTGTAACAATTTGCATCACCAGTGAGTCAAACACACATTTATCTTTTAATATTTGGGAATAAGGGGATACAATAATTGTAGTCTATTAAAAAAGGATTTAAAATAAGATCTGGTTCATCTTTTGGTAATTTGATATTTGGTAGTTATCAGTTACCAGGGAAAGAATGATGAAATAACAAATTCTACAGCAGCAAATGTAAATGATCATGTAAGTAGGCATCAAGTAAAGAATTAATCAGAAATTACTTTGTTTGAAAAATTGATGAGTGGAGTTAGAAAGACTGGCAAATCCTATTTGTGTGTTCTATATTTGTGTGTACTAAAATGTGTTCTGTGAACCAAGGAGATCTTTGTCCAGGGCAAAGTCCCCCCCGCGTGCGCTTGATTAGCAAGCTAGCCGCGTAGCCAGACAACCTCCCTCCTCCGTTTGTAGAGTAATAGCACATTTCGCTCTTATCTCGCAAATTAGAAAAAAACATTTCTTTCAGCACAATATTCCCCCATCACATCCCGTGGGAATTCACCAGCCAATGACGTCGCAGTGAGGACTAGCCAATCACAGCACAGCAGGGCGCGGACTAGCCAATCACAGCACAGCAGGGCGCGTGGACACGAGTGGCGACCAGGCGGTTTGTCTGTTCGACGTGTGGCTGCTGGTTGTTCGCTCAAAGACATTAAGTATCCAGAACTTCTCCAGCCGAAGGAAAAGCGAGGTGAGGAATACGTTTCTCATAAACTTAAACTCTTTTAGTGAAACATGAAATTACATCCAAGGTCTCTCGCTGTAGCAGCTGCGGCCTTCAAGTTAATTGGTGTTTTAATGAATTGGTGAAGTTCAGGTGTGTGAGACAAGCTGCGAGAAGCAGCTGGTCCTCTGAGAGGACGGAAACAACGTCGACGTTAAAATGAACTCGTATGACTAAACAATTGTCAAAGTGATTGAGCCAGTGGGGCCTTGATTATTAGTCTGATTAGTCTTTATTTGTTTGCATTGTTGCTGCAAATATGTAGAAATTCATTTGTCACACATTTATTAGACACAGCGGTGTACAAAAACAGGTTTTCCTTTACTGTTAATTTCTAGACTTCAAACTACCAGAAAAATATTGATATGAAACTTCGAAAAAAGACTGTGTCCATTGCATTTATTGTAGACGTTTCAACATTTAATGCAATGTTTCTCCCAGTAGGCCGACATGATTTTGAATGAGTAAAGGTGAACAGTAGAAGCCGCGGTTGGTAAAACCTTTGTTGTCGTTTAGTTGTGTCTTTGGAGAAACCTTTGAATGCTACTTTGCTTCATAGAATCCAGTGTTCTTCTTTTTAAGCGCACTTGAACTTAGTGGGTCAGACTCTGTGACAGCTGCATCTTGCAAAGCAGCGTGAAACACACAGCGGTTTTGTTTCCCTTCACATTAAAAATGAGAAGGGGGGGAAAGCTGAGAAGTTTCCAGGCTTTCCGTTGACGCTCACTGGCACAATGTTTGTGATGAGACATCCCGCTCCAAAAGGAAACCGCAGTAATCTGAGACGAGCTTAGCTGGTGTTCCACTCCGTGTCTGAGAGGGGGAAGAACCTGTTAATGCAAATGCTTGGAAGGTTTCGGTGCTAATACCGGAAGCTTAGAAGCCTCCGGAGGAAAGAAAAGCCCCGAGAGAAGAAGCTCAGAAGCTGCACTCCGTACTTTCTCTCTGTCATAAGCAGCAGAAATATGTAAAGTTGTTAACTTTTAGACCTTGATACGTGACGTCTAATGGAGAAATTGTTGCCTTTTGGGAAGATTTAAAACTTTGAGGGAAGAAACAAACAAGTGCAGCAGTGATTGTGTTTGTTGTACATTGTCTTTTGTCTCCACAACTCCCAGTAGGAGTCAGACTTTTCCAGCAGAGCAGATCAGGTACAATTATCACAAGTTGTCTGTTCTCACTTATTTTACCCTATCACTCATCCATCCATTATGTCGCATCTCTTTCAGAAGGTGTTCCCGGCGGTCGACTGGGCATCAACGGTAGGAACATCTTCACACGTGTCCTGTCTCAATAAAGCACTTTTCTTTTGTTTTCAGAGAGTAACTTGTCAGTCTCCCGATTTAAGGCTCATGAAAGCTTTGCTGCATTTTGGTTCCCGCAAGGAGAGGCCCTGCAGCCATGTTGGTGTCCTGCGGCTTTGGTGGTGGTTGCGGTTTGACTTGGAAGCTGGCGATGCACCTAGACAGGAGGGACGTGTTGAGGTCGGAGATCCTGAATACGCGGTTGGATAAACGTTTGTGAGACACTGGGGCATCGCTGAGCAGCCGGGTTCCTACGGTCTCTTCTGGTCGCCGCTAAAACGTTCTGTCGCTTATTGTTTAGCCTTTTCTTGGGGCGGATTCCCGGGATGAGCATTTGTTCTGGCTGTTGAAAAACCCTGAGTACCAGCCTTAAATGACAGCAGTGCATAAAGCATGCATTAGCGAATCACTGCCTGTATGTCACAGTACAGTGAGCTCAAAACTACATGCATAAACATTACAGCTGATTTCAGGAGCTCATTTGTTGTCTTTGTTACACATGTATAAAATTAGTTTTATGTATGACAATGACTGCATGTTTCTGCGTCTTGTCCGAGACAAGCAGACGAAGCTGTTGTGATATTTTGACTATACCGTAATTATATAATACGGTGAAATAATTAAGTTATAATAATAATAATAATAATAAAAATGTCATAGTACATGATTAGAAAAAATATTCCAAGAAAAGTAATGTATATTAAAAAGCATAACTCAAATATATGCAACGTGTAAGAATTGGATAATGAATATGCGGCGTGGATGGGTGTCTACAGTGCGTAATACGTCTGTATGGTGTACACAGCATGGTGTATACAAAAGGTCGTATTAAATGTCAGAAAAGGGTCAGCAAAGTCAAACAAATGAAAAAAAGTCATTGCATCTCCAAAAAAGAAAAAGGATCATAATATATCATGTCGAAGGATGTGAGAAAGATTATAGGATAGCATGTCAAAAAAAGTGAGAGTTCATGTCAAAACATACTAAAAAGACCCAACTACAGCGCTTTGTAAAACCTCATAGTATAGCATGTCGAAAAGGTAAACCGAGTATGTGGAATACAGCCGTAGTACAGCATCTCCCAGAGAGGTAATAGAATAGTCGAAAAAATTACTTAAGAAGTGCTGTATTATTTTTGTAAAGTTCACATGTCAAATAAAGTTATAGTGAAGCCCGTAGGGGAAGAAAGTAAAAAAAAGGTCATCTTAAAGCGTCAAGTTACAGCACCTCTTAAAAAGGTTTCTTTTTTATTCAAAAGCTCATAGAAAAGCAGGTGCAATACAATAAATTACGCTTTGATGAGTGTCAGGCAGAATAGCTCAGTGGAACTTTGGGAGGGCTGAAGTCTCGAAGATCTCCAGTGCAAACCTGCTCTCCGAGGTTGTTGGTTCGAGCCCAGCGATGGACATGACTGTCACAGTTCAAGGTTTTGAGTTTCCACTCAAAATCTCAAGGTTAAATACAAGAAACGAGATATTGAAACATGTCCCTAGTGGAATAGCACAGTGGTTAAACACAAGGGCTGCAGTCATGAGAACCCGGGTTCAAAACTAGCCTGGTGACATCAATGTTGAGTAGAAGGGATGCAAAATTGGGAATAATTGGACCTCAAGGTCATTGGAATTAGAAAGGCAGCGATGAGGTAGGTCCAATCTGCACTACGGTGTGTTGCGGTGGGGTTCTCCCCACCGGTAGTTTCGGGACCATGTGGCCTGGGGGTTATGCATAAAATCATGACTGACAGCTGGAGTTTTGGAAGTAATATATGCATAAATCTTTTTACAAATTTAAAAACGAACGTTCTGTTTGACTAAGCAGTGCAGCTCAGTACAATACGGGAGTAAACCAGTAGGACCAGTGCTCGTCACTGAGTCAGTAGTGCTGGTAGACCTGCAATGAACTTAATTAATTTTTTTTTTTTCCAAAGATGAATCTACCAAAAGTACCACCAGTCCCCATGATTTTATGCATAACCCCCAGGCCACATGGTCCCGAAACTACCGGTGGGGAGAACCCCACCGCAACACACCGTAGTGCAGATTGGACCTACCTCATTGCTGCCTTTCTAGTTCCAATGACCTTGAGGTCCAATTATTCCCAATTTTGCATCCCTTCTACTCAACATTGATGTCACCAGGCTAGTTTTGAACCCGGGTTCTCAAGACTGCAGCCCTTGTGTTTAACCACTGTGCTATTCCACTAGGCACATGTTTCAATATCTCGTTTCTTGTATTTAACCTTGAGATTTTGAGTGGAAACTCAAAACTTTGAACTGTGACAGTCATGTCCGTCGCTGGGCTCGAACCGACAACCTCTGAGAGCAGGTTTGCACTGAAGTCCGCTGGGTCTGCAGCCTGTGTGCTGAACCCCTGCACTATTCCACCACACATATCCACCCAGCTTCGTTTCTCGTATTCAACCTTGAGTACAACCTTAAAACCACTTCAGACACTGAGGTGAAGGCCATCGCTGGACTCGATCCATCAACCCTGAGCGCAGGTGTGAACCCAGAGTTCAGGGGCTGAGCCGCTTCGCCATTCCACCAGACACCCAGCAGGCAGATCAGAGGCGCTAAGCCTTTTGTGATTCATTTACTACATGCTATACTATAAGCCTTTTTCTCTTTTTTTAACTTGCTATATTATGGCTGTATTTAACATACAATACTATGACCTTTTTCACTTCATTCAACAAGCTATACTATGGCTTTATAGACATATGACCTTTTTTGTTGTTGTCGACATGCTGTACTACAAGTTATTTCCATTTGTTTTCGTGCCGACCTTTAATAATATCACAGTTTTTATGATGCACTGTGCTTTCTTCGACATTTCTACACTTTTCTAACAATCAGCATATACAATGAACGTTCTCGTTTTCATTTAACACATTTCACACCAGTGGCGGCTGGCAAAAAAACACCAGATAACAGTAAATAAAAAATCAAAATTTGTGTTTTTGAATATGTAATGTAGGCAGTAATATTTGTCTGTCTGCTCTTCCTGCACATCCCTGCCCGTCATACACGTCCTGTCTTCATGCGCGTTTTACCTCCGCGAGGTGCAAACTCATGATTGCACGCAGAAGGCGGGTCTAAGTAGCGTTTTAGCAAATTGCTGATTAAATAATAAATCGTGTGACATACAATTTAGCCACTCGGCGTCCTTAAATAGACTCCGCAACGTTGGTACCGACAGACGCCATGTTGTGGAATATTTCATTGTAACTAGTTCGGGAGAAGAGGATAATTTTGTTTGTTTCTCTCAGATAAACAAAATCTTGATGAATGTTCAACGTTGTAAAAGTCAATTTATTGCTCGCAAGCAGGTCAAATACACCAGCACGTATTACAGTCAAAACGCCGAGCTTTTACACACACATACTAAGGTCATCCGCAGTGGCGCCGAATCCTAACCACTAGACAATATAGGGCGATGGCAGATATAAAACTTGATTTATGAAACTTGCATCGATACATATTGAACCAGGTTATGACACATACAAAGCAGGTGAAAGTTGAAGCCTTTATGTGGAAGCAAGTTGACTCGCTCTCCTTCCTGCAAATGGAAACTTCTGCTTTTCACGTGTTAAACTTGAATAGACAATTTCCCTCTTTTAGCATAAGACCATAACATATTTTACCATTACAGCCGTCCCTTCCTGAGAAACCCCATGACACAGAATGGCCTAGAAATCTTTCCACCAGCCGCCACTATTACACACTTTCAGACATCCACTGTTGCACCCAACTCATTAGCAGGCTGCTACACGGTGCATGTGTTTGCGTTGTGCTTTAAAGAGAAATTGTGTTTGGTAATCCCATGTTTGGTTCGTTCTTGCTCCGCCTGTGATATTGTCACACTACGATACTCATCTTTCTCAACATACTTCGTATGATTATCGTTTAATGTTCTATGAAATTTCATAGTATTAACATAATATACTATGCTATTTTACATTTAGTTTGATGGGTTTCCTTGCTCCTCCATTGGCTTGACTTGGAAGCGGCTGAGCAGCAACTGTTGTGCTTCAATGTGGTTCTCCAGGGAGCATCAGGTGTTTTCTGGAAGAAAGAAAAACAAATGTAGACAAATAAGCTCTTAAAATCAGCTGAAATGTCAGTTATTCTTTATTCATGTAGTTTGCAACAAACTTTACAACTTCAGATTATATGATTTGTTACTGTGGATTACCTTGAACTTTTGACTTTAAATATAATTCTACGAATTCTCTGGACATAAAATTGACAGGTCATAGTATGACCTTTTGATAATTAAATGATTACTTTTTTGCATATAGTGCACTTTGACCTCTTTTAACATACTATACTTTGTCTTTGTTCCACTTATCTCCTCCTCGTCTCCTTGCAGCCTTTCCGCTTTACTTTCATATGGTCTTACAATTGATTCATGCTTAGAATTCAGCGGCGTTGGGAAATTCAATTTCCGGTTACATTTTGTTCACTGTCGCACAGCCCTGATTAGTTGGTGACTCACAGCTGGCGGCGTTGCCATGGCGACCGGTTCCGTATCTTCCTGTTGACCGTGTGAAATTGACCACTTCGGTCACGTGTGGAAACAAACCGATAGGGACCCTCGTTCTGTGTTCGACATTTGATTTATTTCGATGGCAGCTGGAAAGGAAGAGACGGGTGAAAATAGGGAAATCTAATATTGCGGCAGCATGGTAAAATAGTTCATCAAACTAAAACGTGACTCGCACTCTGGCTGTGAGCAGTGGAGTTTATTTTTTTACTAGACCTTGATATTTCAAAGAGACCTTCATTTCTCAGAAGCGCTGTGGAAATCAGGTAGGACATAAACTGTAGCGTCGCATGATCCATGTACGCTTTTTCACAAATTATTTACTAACAAACTTGAGTCACAAATATATTGAACTTTTCAACCTCAAGGGGTTCAACAGTACAGGTCTGGGATTTAACCAGCTCACCTTTGACAGATTGCAATGAGGGTAAATTAACCTAATTGTTACTGCGTCACTTAACGGCCTTTTGGCCATTTGAACCAGGTCTTTTTGCAGGAGGATATTAACCAGTTTTCAACAAATTGTGCCGACGCACAGATGGAGTTATGACCATAGCGAACAATGCAATATTCTACTTTTATGAGGACTGGCATTTTTATATGAAGTGTGTCTGCGGGAGCGTCGGATCATTGAGAAACCAGAGCAGTGAAATCATCTCCATGATATTGCTTAATGTGTTTGTTTGTTTGTGTAAAGCCCTACAAAATAATTGAGAGATAAGAAAAGAGAAAAGAAGAAGACCGACCAGGTGGTTTACTTTAAACACGTAAAAGGAAATATAATTTTTTTTAAAAATGAAATAACAAAAAAAGAACAACATTTCATACAGAAGAGCTGCTTTTGTCATTTGCATGAGTAATATACACAGGACTTGAAATGATAACACTTTACTTGAAGTGGAGCAACAGCATCCACACCACAC